AATCGAGCTGAGGTCTGATTCGTGGTCTGGACAGAATGGTCACTCAGTTCGTGTCCGTACTGCAGTCAACCATTTAGCTTCCACTTAGGCTTTTGCTACCACAAAGGGGCTAACAAGACCCAATGTGAGAGCATTTGGAAATGACAAGTTCTCTTTATGGAGACATCAGGGGTCTATTAAACCTCTGATGTCTCTCCTGTCCTCCGAAACAGACCATCAAGAACAGGAATGTGCTTGATAGTCTGTATATCTGGCCCTTCTGCTGGCTTCTGACAGCTGAAGCAGGAAGCGCTGAGAGTGATCACAGAGCAGATCAGGGAACTGCTCCTGCTCTCCATTCTCACACTGTTTGCCAGTCCTTGGCCCCCTAGAGGAGCGGGGGACCCGAAAACCATGGTGGGAGGGTTGCAGGGGGGCGGCACAAAAGCTGACTAGTACAAGTGATCTGGGTGGCTGTACAGCTGCCCAGATCACTTGTAGCTGTAGCAACCGGCCTTTCCTGACATAATTGGTTGCTAGGAAGACTGCAGTCCTAGCAACCAATGACTGAAGCAGAGGGAGGGCCTGCGCTGGGTTATGGCTGGCAGTGGATACACCCGCCTTGGAGGCCAGTGTATCCACCGTCAGCCAGCCATAACCCAGCACACCTCAGTAATCGCGATCTGGACAGAACCGCCACTCTGTACTCACTGGTAGTTTGAAAAATCAAGCGTCTGGGTGTGTCATGGCTGAGCCTCTACCATATCTGTTCCATGAGGTGCTATTAATGTAGCCGCACCTTGAGAGAGAACCTTGCACAGGTATTCCTATGACTATTAGATCAACTACATTGATACTAGCCGGAGATCCACAGATAGAATTCGAACGCGTTCTGGCATTTTCGGCTATTTTCCTTTAAGCCCAGACTTCTCTTGGTGTTAATATTTGTGTACACTTTCAAGTAAAAGTTCAGTATATTTTTTAGTAAATTTTCTATTTTGAGTTATTGTAGTGTTTTTTTCTTACAGCAAACCCTTGCTTTGCCCATGTAGGCTCTTTAATGCCCTCTCCCTGGTAGCCATTTTCCTTCATTCCCCTGCTGCTCCATATGTTGCCTGGAGAAAAGAGAGGAAGACCTGTGTAAGCTCTGACCCTCAACCCCATGTGACGGCTCTGGGCCAATCACCAGCGCTGTTACATGGATTGAGTCACATGATCCACCATACCTGGCCGTACCAGGGACCACACATCAACCACACAGTTTTACTGCCCGTGTGAACTAGGGCTAATGGAGTTGTAGTATATTTATGACAATGTTTTAAATACGGCCAATTAGTAAAGCTGACCATACAGTGGTAGTTTTCTTTTTTCCTCATTTATCCCCTCCGGCTGAATGAGAAAAACAGTCAATTCCCCTATCCATGCTGAACAGTGTGGTTGGGGGAATCTTCCCATCTTCCCTGCCAGGCTATTGTATTCTTACAGCCAGCAGGGGACAACTTTTGGCCCAGATCCTTCGACAAACTTCGATTTTAAAAATCTAAATTGTGTGGTCCCAACAGGGTGGCACACAGCTTGAATTGCGTCCGTGCCTGCAGAAAGCGCCTCTATTATTGCAGTAATAATGTACAAAAAGAGCTCCATGAAGACACATTCTGTAACACGGGTCACAAATCCTCTTCAACACATACATATACTGTTTTGTTTATTTTGGGCATGTCATGGGAGCATCACAAGTGAGCCAAAAAGGTCAGAAAAACGATGGTTAATCGGGCCCTAAATGTCCACCTCTGGGCCCTGTTTCTTCTCCATCATACCCCAACCTTCCCCTGTAAGAGTTTGCCATTTGTCACTTCGAGTAGTGACAGACATCTGTGTCCCCTACTGTGTGCCATGGTTGCATCCTCTGATCCCTACATCACTACATGACTCAGCACTGAGGAAGGAACCACGATGCACCGGGGTGGCCACGAGCATCTGACACACCCAGAAGTGTCAGATCTTGAATATATTGGCAGAGCCTCCAGTGCTGGAGCGGAGTGGATGCATGGGAAGCGAGCTGCTACAGAGGCATGTATACAGGTCCGTCTTTGGCAACATGTTTCATCAGACAGAGTCTCTTTATGCTCATTTTAGGCCTGGTTCCCACCTGGGCGTTTTGTAGCGCGTTCGAACGCTCTGCAAAACGCTCAAACACCGAAATCCCATTATTTCCTATGGGTACGGTTCACACCTGGGCGTATTACAGGCCGTATGAACGCGCTACAAAACGCCCTACGCCCAAAGAAGTACAGGAGCTTCTTTGGGGCGTTTTTGTCGCGCGTTTCCATTGGGATACAGCCAAGTAGCCCTCGGAAACGTGCGTTTGTTGCGCGTTTTTTAACCGCGAATCTCGGTAAAAACATGCGTCACGAAACACGCGACAAACGCGCCTATTCGATACGCCTAGGTGTGAACCCAGCCTAAGAGAGGACATCCCAAAGATTTTCTACTCTGCCCATTTAATAAGGCATAGCTTATGTGCAAATTGCAGTAAACCACAGCAACCTGTTGGGTGTCAGTTTGCTTTAGTCACATCTATGAAACCCCAGTTCTGATTGAACTCTGCAGTATTATTTGCATTTGTCATATCTGAATATATTAATAATGGAAATTGTATACTGTAGTAATGCCTTTTGCAGTAGTTAACCCTTTTAGGTACTGGTTTTGAAGCAGCAGGAAATCAGGACTAGTTTCCATAACTGGTCAGGTACTAATTTTAATATAGCATGCTCTGTAATATCACAGCTTCGTTCTCACATAGGAAATACATTTTTCTTGCTTAGTTTAATAACATTCCAGCAATATTCAAATAATAATAGAGCACCTAGTAATAGAAAAGTGGCACAA